TAGAGGACTTGATTTTCCACTTTTGTAAATAAGACTGTTGGAGCTTTGATCATGATTATATCTTAATATAATCACATATAGTACAAACATGACATACTATTACAAAGATTAGAAATATCATATAATAAATGCTTAGCTATAGATGTCTAAGAAATGAAATCATTCACTTTAGATTCTTGAGAACATGCCTCAATGATATTCAAAGTTATTTTATTTTGCAATAGTTTTTGTTCTTTTTTTTAAAATTCCTGGAATCCATATTTTCTGGTCCCAAATATGATGGAATAGGCTATTAATATTCTTTTCAGTTGCTTTCATTGGTTTGTTTTTAAAATAAAATATCTAATGCTTAACTATGTTCCTGACAAATATTTCTTTGTGAACTTTTATTTCTGAGAAATCTTGAAATGGCAAAAGCTCATCATTTCTTAAAAGACAAGCAAACAAATAAAACTGATGTCAAACCTCTGTCATTTTCTTAAGAATCATTCACTCAATGGATAATTATTTATTGGACAAAAACTATGTCACCAGTACTGTAAAAAATGAAATATGATCTCTTAAGCCTTTGATAGGAGCTCTGGTAGCATAGTGGCTAAGGCACTTGACTGCTAACCAGAAGGCTGGCGGTTCAAACCCACCAGCCACTCCTCGGAAGGAAGATGGGGCAATCTACTTCCGTAGTGATACTGCCTCGGAAACCCAAGAAGGGGTCGCTATGAGTTGGGTCCGACTTGAGGGCAAATAACAACAACAACAACATTGCTGTATTTAGTTAATAACAAGACTAGTGATTTTAAGGATATGTTACAGAATTTGGGGTAATTCATGATTTTTAAATTTGATGGCCACATTAGAAATGGCCTCTTTGTGTTTAGAGGTAAGTCTTCAAAACTTACAGTGCAAGTTAAGCCTCTTAAGACTCAAAGTAAGTTTTGGAGACCAGAAAAATCAGTATCACCTGGGATTTTGTTAGAAATGAAATCAGACCTTATCCCATATTTACAGAATCAGAATCCCAATTTAACTATATTCCCAGGTAATTCTTATGATCATTCATGTCTCATCTAGCTATATTACTTGTTTATTGGGTAGTGATGTTTACTGGCAAATAAATAAATAAATTCAAATGTCACAAAAAGACATAGATGTTCCTGTTACTCCATGTAAAAATGCAGATATTTTGCTGCCTTAAACATTTCAGACATGATCCTAATCCAAGTAAAACCACAAACCTCCACTACCCAGGGCAAGTTTTTCTCAATACTAATTATCTACTATGAACAATGGCCTTTAATTGGTCTTATTTCTGAAACGAGTAGGGCAGGTTTTTCATTTACAAGAATTGCTGATTAATTAAGCAAGGAGACACTGCAGGCAATGTATTTCTGGATGTAAGACAAGATGGAGTGAATGATGTGTCCATCATTTTATGCAAGTGCTATTATTCCCTTGCAACATGCTTCCTAAATGGGCCTCATTATGCTCAAACGAGAGGAAATATTAGCACATTTAGGGGAGAACTGCAGCCCCAATCATTTTGAGAGTATTAGACATGTTTGTTTAAATTCCAATCAGAAAGTTCCACTTTTACCCAGCATTTTAAATCCATTTTGTGATTTACCTTAGAGCAATGCTTGAATAACAAAGAGGTTTTAAAAAAATTAAAGCAACTAGGAAAACAAAACAAAGCAAAACCACCTTACTTTCCAAGGGCAAAACATTCCAGTTTTACAGATGAATCCTTTGCAGCTTGTATTGTTTCAGGAAAACGCACTTCAATCTTTGGTTCATATTCCCCCATCACACCTGTTAAATATCAAAAGAGCTAGCAGCATTTCTGGAGAATAGAATTTTCTATGAAGTAAATGCTTCATTAATGAAAACCTGATTATTTGGTCTTTCAGTTAATAATATTTTTCTGTTAGTTAATGGGACACAGAGGGCAAGGAAACTTCATGATGCTATGTAAGAAATTAATTCATCCTCCTCCACCCCAAACAAAAAATAATCTAAGATGTATCATAGAATTAGGCTAGAGACATACCAAATTTCCTTATCTTCCACATCAACCTCTTAAAAAGAATTAGTGTTTTCAATTAAGAACTAATGACACTTAGATTCTAAAATGCTTCTGAGTTAAAAAAAGAAAAAAAAAAAGTTTATTCTTTAGTGATCCTTCACCCTTTCATGAAACTCTTGGGGCCAGCTCTGCTTATGAAAAAGGAAAGTTTCAGATAATTACATAAGACTGATGCAGCAACTCTTAATCCAAAATACCAGTATTTTTTCAGTGAAACATATCATTTAACCATACCAAGTGCCAAGTGAGGTAAAGATGTATACATTTTCATGTCACTTGAATAAGGTATTACCATTAAATTAGTTTCTTGTACACTTATGCAAAACATTTGGGTCTTCAGAATTTTTTTTTTTTAATTTCTGATAAGCAATTGTAAGCGTGGACTAAGCTAAGACTAATATAGTTATCTAATACATTGTAGACTCAATATCTACCGAGGAGTTATAACAAACAGAAATATATTGCTAGGGTATACTAATGAATCTGATTAATTTAATCAGCGATAACTCAAGATTTCTTCAAAACTTTGATAATTTTTCATTTATAACCTGAACACCAGAGTAATATATTCCTAAAAAAAATACTGAATTGTCAGCCAGTACAATTTTAGAAAATGTGAAATTTACATAATATATACAAAATAAAAATACCTCAGTTTTATGACCTTGATCATTCCAAAATATTTGAAAAGGGTATGGTTGAAGAGTAGAGCACTACTTCATTTAATTGAAATGGTAAGTTTTTTTTTTTTTTTTTAAGTTATTTTCTATTTGCTTAAAACCTGAACTTTCTTGGGTGCAAACTTACAGAAGAGGCTTGATTTTTCATATTATGTATAATATTTTCAGTCTATTTTTATAACAATTGTGTTCAAGGGAATAGGAGAGATGGAAGATGTAAGAAATTTAGAAGGGAAGAGTCTGAAATGAAGAGAAACAAAATGGAAATATATATGGTAGAACCTTAATACATATTGTTAGCTCAGGAGCTCTTCCAGTCATCAACAGAGTTTTCAGAGTACTCACTAAAAGATTTAAATTGGACTCATGAATAAAATTCAGTGACTACTCAATTCTGAATTAAGACCACACAAATATATTTGGGTAGTTAGTGATTATGAAGGTTTTAAAAAGCCTGTCCTAAGAACTCCCTGCATAGAGTTGGTTCCATAACTCTGTTACCCATTATTAATGTTATATTCTTCCTTTCCTTAAACTCCTCCCAGGGGAGGGGGAGAAGAAAAACTATAAGGTATTTCAAGTCCAGAATCTGATCATAAAATGCTCCAACAGATTTTCTATCTTTACTTTTCCCACTGTGAACATTAAATTAAAAAATCAACTACAGGATTTTTCCACTTCAATGACTTGCTTAAATTTCCTAGCTCTCTAAATCTTGTACTGGCTATGACTTGACTAAGCTGCAAAGCTTGTCAGAGACTAATCTGAATTATGTTCCTTGGAGGAATATAATTAGTATGTAAATCTTGTTTCATTTTTCTTTAGAATGCTCTTAATTATTATTGGTTTGCTTTGCTTTCCTTGGATATGAACTTTTTCCCTCATTCTGCCAGCCAAGTAAATAAAGGATGAGCAAAAAAGGCAAATATGGAAAAGAAAGGGGCATTTTAAAAAGCTGCATCATATGTTCATTAAGTATATGTTCATTCAATTATATAAACTTGGCAGCACACACACGTGCACACACACACATATATTAACTCCCTCAAACATTTTTTTTTTCTTTGAAATAGTCCTTATGCAAAGAAAAGATATTCCATTCCAGTGCCAGCAGAGAGAAGGCACAGTGTGTCCGGAACCATGTATACTATATTATATGGGTGAGTTACAGAATTTCAACTGAATGTTTTATAATACATGATTCATATTTGTCAGTTGAACCTAAACTCATTGATGATGTGGCTATGCTGAACAAGAATGAAGCAGAAAGCTTTGCAGATTTCACCAGGCTTCAAGAGCCTTGGTCAAAGTATATTCCCAAGATAACTCATCCATCATCTTACCATCAGTGCGCTGCACTAATGGAGTGGGTGGTCCTTGCACACTTCTCTGGGCTTCCTTGTTTGTTATAAAGCAAGTGTAGTTGCCCACATCTGATGGTTCCACTTTAGCAATGTACAAATTTCCTGTCTCTTGAGATACAAACCGTCTGTTGTCCTCTTGGACATATAAAGGGTTATCATTGAAGGTCCATGCATAAGATAAATCTGGAAAACATAAAAAAAAATATATTATTCTTATTGTATTCATTCTTATCTTAACATTTTGTTGCCTACTTCTCAAGCATTAGAATAAAACCATGTCACTGCTTGCCTAGTGTACATCTGATGTCTTGTAATGATTAATGTCCTTCCCTGCGTGTAACAAACAGTTTGCACTGGACTACTAACCAAAACGTTGGTGGTTTGAACACACGCAACAATGCTGTGGAATAAATGTCTGGCAATTTGCGTCTGTAAAGATTATAGTCAAGAAAACCCTATGGAGCTGTTCTACTCGGTAACACATGGTTTCACCATGTGTCAGAATTGACTTGACAGCAACAAGTTTTATTTTGTTTCAATACTCAGAAAAATACTAGTTGGGATGATAAATTATATGGCCACATTGCTGATTACTGGGTTTTGAAATTTAAGATTGAGACTGGAATACATGGATGAACTAATTTAAAAAAAAAAAGAAAAGCTACAATATATATGACATATCTCAAAATGCACACTTCTTCAGTGATACTCACTTTGGAGCAGTGTTTCTCAATGAATAATAAGAGGGACATTTCCATTAAATATGATTAGGAGTATCTGTTAAGAATTTAACTAAATACTTGACCTTAAAAACTTAAATTCAAGGGATCTACCAATTAGCTAGAGATTCATTTGTTCAACCATTAGAGAATTTCTGAATAACCAGACAGTGATAATTTTAAGACTTCAACTACAACAAAGTAAAGCCTCTGACCCAAAAAGCTCACAGCAGTTATCACTAGTTATCACTAGTCTGGGTAATTTTAATGTAGGGTGATGTGTATGTGGGGTCACCATAGAGAATCCAGAGTAAGGACCTCAACTTCTCAGAAAAACTAATGTCTATGTTAAGACCAGTAGGATGAATGGGAGCCATACAAGTATTAGATAAGTATACAGACATTGGTCAGAGAGCACATAGCATGAGTAGAAGTTTAAAGATGAAAGATCACTTTTTCTGAGCATCAAGCAAACCATCCCTGAAAATCTTATATATGAGTATGAATACATATAATCAACTTGCTATAAAATGCACAGATGTTAAGTAGTGGGTTCAATCAATAGCAATAATTACATACTTTAGGTAAATATCACATAAAAATTAAGTATGGAACATTGCCATCTCAGAAAATTTTCTCCCATCACTTTCAGGTCAATCCCATCACTGCAACCGGTATCTGATATTTTAGTTCTATTCACATTTTGTTTTCACAAAGATGGAGTCAGGGACCATATACTATGTTATGTCTCATTTATTTCATTTAACATATTTTTAATTCATTTATATGTTTTTGATTGTCTGTTCTTTCCATTTTATTGCAGAACAGCATTCCATTTCATGAACATCAAAATGTTTTTAGTCATTTTCTTATTGATGAGCATTCAGATAGTTTCCAGTTTGGGGTCGTCATGTGTCAGGATGAAATAAATATTCTTGTAGAAGACTGTGGATATTCTCCTCATTTGTTTTGGGCAAGTTCCTAGTAAGTCATTTTGTAGATATATGTTTAACTTTAAAACATGTTTTTTTTTTAAAAAAAAAAAACACTGTCAAAGAATTTTTCAAAGTGGTTGTACCATTTTACATCCTCATCAGGAATACATAAGAGTTCCAATTTCTCCACATCCTTGTAAAAATTGTGTTGGCAATCTTTTTATTTTAGCCAGATATCTTTGAGCAAAGGAAAATACTCTCCTGGGTTAGGCTTTGTAAGAGTGGTACGACTTGAAGGCTACAAAATCACTGTCATGGAAATTAAGTAGCATGGAACCTATTGTATAGAATATGGAAATGGAAATATATACTTATCCAAAAGGAGACCCAAAAAATAAGTCTGGACATAAGGAAGAGGAATATATGAGAATGTGTCAAAAGATATTTCCTGTATGGACATTCACACACCTGGAAAACAGAGAACAGCATCTAATGCTATTAGAGACCTCTTGTCCCAGCAGAGGTTGCAGGTCATCTGTACTTACATAAAAAACTGGTGCAAAATCAAGACAGAAGAGATAGCTTTTCTGATGTGTCTAGTAATCTTCCTCAGCTGGAAGAAGATCACCTGAAACATTCTTCACTGAATTTAAATTTTCTAAAGGTTGAGGGGGCAACAAAGATTAACAGCTATTCTGAAATTAATTCTGATCCATGTAGAAAACTTTTAGGAAATGGAAGTAGGAGAATATTGCCATCTTTTTTATTATCCCTGTAAATATATGTGTGTGTGTATCCATATCTACATCTGTATTTATCTATATACTTAACAATACTTAGGAAACCAGAGTTGAACTAAATAAAGAAAGGAAGAAAAGGAAAGGGGAGAGTGGTAGGAACATTAGAGAGAGGAAAGGAAGGAGAAGGAAAAAGGTGTTAGTCTACAGAAAAAGACCATTAATAGTGATGAAAAGGTAAATAATTAAATTCTGACAGTGAATTCATAGACAACAGTAAGAAACAAAGGGTCTGACAATTTAAAACAAATTCATTTGTGCAGACAGGACCCTGATACTGTTCTCAGGAATAAAGAATATATGAGAGAAAGATGATGAGAAACAACAAAAATGCCATAATGCATGAAATATGAAAATGAAGAAAATGTCATTAAATCTACAAGAGTAGTGCCAGGTAGATTAAAAAAAAATCCAAGATGCATTGTTACATGACATATATAAATAAGTATGTCTAATATGATCCAACTAAAAAGTATATATCTGTCTGTGGCTATTTGTGTACGTTCATACCAATTATTATATTTGAAAACCTGGCAGTGTATAAGGTAGTTATCTCAAAGCAATGGGAGTAGTTATTTTAAAGTAGCAAAATACAAGACTTTTATTATTGGAATGTTAAATTTCTATATGTTACTATGTAAATGGAGGAAGAAACAACAGCTTGTAAATAGTCTCAGGGAGGCTAAATGAACTACAGTTTGTCAAGTGTAAGATGGGATCCGACTCAATGGCTGTGAGGGTTTTTTTGTTTGTTTGTTTACTCTGAATAGTTCAAACTCTAAACTGTTCAAACTCTTACTGACAGTATTGATTCACAATCCTGGATACATATTAGAATCCCCAAGGAAGCTTGTTTAAATACAAAAAAACCTATGGAATCACCATGAGTTAGAATCAATTAAACTACAAAATGTTGAATCCTACTTCTAGCCTTTGGTTTCATTACATCTGAGTGAGGTGCCATGGAATCTGTATTTTTAGTCAATACCCTCCAAATGACTCATACAGTTGATCTGCAACTTGAATATTATGTCCAGAACACATCTTATTGAGAAGGAAATTAAGAATCTTGAGTGCACTGAGAGGCAGATAGCCAAACGTATCAAAGACTAGAAGCTTTCACACACAGACACACACACACACACAAAAGGGATAAGAATTTATTTTTTGACCCTGAAAAAATAATTTGGAAAAATATTAGTGATATCTTTATATTTGAAAGGCTCCTATGCAGATAAAGGGTTAAATCAAATCCTTTCCATTAAAATCCAGATAGCAAAAGTAAGAAATAGGTCTGTTGAAGGCTACAGAATGCTCTTGACCTATAGTATATCTAAGAATAGCCTAAACTTTAGAACTATAGCAGGAGATGATTTATGAAATAGTGAGCTATCATTAGAATTGATCAAGCAGAGAGTGGATGAGCATTTCTTGAGATGCTGGAAAAAAGACAGTTTTGTAAAAGATGGATGGTTAAACCTATGCTTTTATAAGTAGACTGCTACACTCTCAATATTCTCTTAAGCTCCCTAAGATTTTATGCTTTTATATCAAGTATGCATAAACTCATTTCATTTTTTTTTTTATTTTTGAAAATATGCTTTGACATTCTTGATCTCTTCTCAGGTACTGAATCTCCCTTTTCTTGGCCATGTTCCTACTGAGGTCTTTCATCATTGCATGAGGTCTCCTGCTTCTAAGTTTCTTTACTGATATTTTTTTTCTGCCTCACTTCTAAGCCTTGTTGCTCTGTCTCCACCAAAGAGATGCTCAAAGGGTTTTTGTTTGAAACTAGAGAGTTGCCTATATAGAAAATTATTCTTCAATATAGAGAAGAGGAAAAAATGTAATTCAGATTCCCCTGTTGTCATGGACTCCTCATCTTGTGAAGTTTTTGTGAAATAAAGATAATCTTGAGCAAATTCTCAGGGATATATCTCAGCATAAGGATCTGTATTCAATGTCTATTTGTGGAAAGAAATGAGCTCTAGTTCTATGAAATCCTTTGTAACCCCTTTTACTTAACAGAAATTACAGGTTGTTGCTTGCACCCAAGAAATCTTTATATTCTTCACCCTATAATTTTGAGACCTGAGACTACAATCTCCATCTCTCTCTTGGTGAATTCATTTTTACCTTAGCTGCTAAAACTTTCCATTCTGTCCTTGTATGTAGTGCATCATCCTTTAAGAGAGGACTATTTAGATGACACTGGAAGAATGTGGCCCAGAAATAGAGAAGGATACAAAGAATAATAAATTTACATAGCACTTATGTTTCATACTCATCATCCCAAAAAGTATTTTGTGAAGCTAATTGGTTATTGCTAATATGGCCCAAGCTACTGTATTTTCAATCACCTCACATGCATGCAAAATCTGGACAATGAATAAGGAATACCCAAGAAGGATTGATGCATTTGGATGATGGTATTAGCGAGGTATATTGAATGTACTGCCAGAAGAATGAACACATCTGTCTTGGACCAAGTACCTGCAGAATTCTTCATGGAAATGAGGATGGCAAAACTTCATCTCATGTGCTTTGGACATGTTATCAGGAGGGACCAATCCCTTGGAGAAGGACATCATGCTTGGAAAAGTAGAAAATCAGAGAAAGTGGGAAGACCATCCACAAGATGGATTGACACAGTGGCTGCAATAAGGGGCTCAAACATAACAATGATTTTGAAGATGGTGTGGGACTGGGTGCTATTTTGTTGTGTAGTACAT